GCTGCGGGCGAGGCGGGGGAGAGGGGCTGGCCCCGGGCAGGGCGGTGGTTGCCTGTGTCGCAGCCGCGCCGCGCGGCCGTGCGCTGTTACGGTCGGCCATACCGGCACGCGGGTGTTGAGGGCGCTGGGCCTGCCCCGTTTGCGGGGCGGCCGCTTTGCTCGGTGGAAGGTGGTGAAAGCTGCCGAGCCTCGCAGGGCAGTGCCTCGGCGCTGCTCTGCGCCGCTCCCCGGCGTGCGCGCGAGAGACGGGCTTCGCACGTTCGTACGAGCCGGGGCGTGAAACCGTGCAACCACAGCGCGAGAAGTGGAGAGGCTTCGATTCGTTGGGCAGTTAGGTGATTTACGACTGATAGTGTGCCTATTTCACACTAAGGAGTGGAGCTTTTAAATGCCCCTTCGTCTAATGACAGGGGAAAGGTCAGCATTCGCACACTAAGGCGGGTGTAAGCGTGGATGGAGACTATGCCTGAGACTGCATTTTTGTGTGAAACAGAACGGCCAAGAAACAGCCTCAGGGTGGGGCTTCACGATCATAGTCCCTCCCATCTCGGTGTTGCCGAGGGATGCGGGCAGGTGCGGACATCAGCACTCCTGTGGGCCTGCACTGACGTACAGGAGGGCACCAGCCCAGCCGCAAATTAAGACTGTAACAAATTGGTGGTTTCCACCCTAGCTGGCTCCCTGGCCAAGCCCACAGTCAGTTACAAGCACCAGTGGGACAGGAGCACCGCTTGCCACAGCAGCACCGTGTATTTTGGTGGAATAAGGCCATCAGGAAACTGCACCTTGAGACATTGTGTTCATGTATAGCCTCAAGATAAGTGAAAATAATGCTTTCTGAACTCTGCACTGCTTAGAAGGGTGCTGTAGGACTCAGAAAAGGAAATAATCTCTTAAAAATTGTTCTTAGTATGGAGAAAGGTATTTGACTATGCATTTTGTAAATAATTTTTAAAGCTGTTCTTTAAGCAATCTTCACATATGGAGCTTGTTTCTGTTTTGATACAGACATGTGCAACATTATCCAAAATATTGACTTACTACTGTGGTCAAGAGAAATATTTTATAAAGTATGGAGAAAGAGTATGTGACCTCCGGTGAAGCACCAGCTTTGTCATTCTGAAGAGGTAAACAAAGTCACACAGGAAACTGATTTCACCTGCATTAGTATCCTGTTCTGTGCATGGTCTGGGTTCAGTATTGTATACCATTCCGCTCAGCAAACATCTATTTTTTTGGAAAAAATAAAAAATTGAGACAGATTGAGTTTTCTTTTTTTATATGTATTCTTTACTGCTGATACATTTTATCAGAACCAAAGAATCCAGGCCAAAAAGTTGAGGAAGTGCTTCATGAGGAACAATGACATAATTTTTTTCTTATAGGGGAGAGCTAAGTAGATCAGCTGGCTAGTATGAATCTCACAGGAAGACCATCTCAGTTTTGTCTGTAAAATAATAAAGTTATATAGTTTTCCAGTGTGGCTCTGGGAGCAGTCTGGTCAAGTTTTGGATGGCACAGAGGCTCATAAGGGACCTGGCCTAGTGAAAAGTGTCACTGTCCACAGCAGAAATGTTCAAACTAGGTGATCTTTCAGATCCCATCCAACCCAGCCCATTCTATGATTCTGTGATATTCCAAAACAGCAGCAGTGTTATGTTGATACCAAAGCTGATACCAAAATTATTAATCTTTCATCCTACCCTGATCAACTCAATTAACCAGGTCCATCTCTTGCCCTACTTTTCTCCCCATGCTCCTCCCCTCTGGCAGAGCAGTGCATGCTGCCTGCTGTTTCTGCTTCAGCAGCTGAGACAGATCATATCAGACATGGGGACACCCTGGCTAGGAGGTGGGAGAAGAGTATTACCTTTTCTCACTGCTCTTCTGTCAATAAACCTGCTCTGCAGCTCTAGGAGCAGTTTCCTTTGACAGCTGAGCTCACCCTACCTAACAAATTTCCATCTTGGCTGTTTACACACTCTTTTCTATGTCTACATAACAATAATAAATCAAGTCAATGAACTAAATATAACCCAGGAAGAATGAAATTACAAGTTGTAACTGAGACAATCTGACAGTCCTTTGGTATGACTGCATTCCTACCCTCATGCACACACCTGGCTGTCTACACCAACTCTGGTCTTCAAGCAGGCCCTTACTCCTGTCAACCTATCTCACCAGCAGGAAAATTACATGGGATAAAGGAGGGGGAAGCTCTTTTAACAGTGAGTTTCACTGACTCTGATAAACTGGGATGGCCCAAAGGAGAATGCAGTTCAAAACCAAAAGAAAGGAAAGTCTTGGGGCTTTCAAATGACATCTAGAGAACTTATTCCCTTTACTAGCAGCATCCTTCTTTTGCTCTAGGACACACATTGACTCAGCTACTCATTTTTGGTCTCATTTTGCCTTCCTTTTTTCCTCATTTTTTTCTATTCAGGTGCCATGTTTTCTCAGTCTCATTATCAGCTGCTAAACCCGTGAGGCAAGGGTCAGCATTATCTGGAGTTTACAGAGCTGTAAATACAAAGAGGAACCTTTGTTCCGTGGATTTCGAGGATCCCGTGCCAGTTAGGGGAATGCTGCAGAAACCCGTAGGTCTCCAGATTCTTAAAACACTGCCACCTGCAAACACCCAGTGTCAGTAGATGGTGCTATATACATATTTTTCGGAATTCTTTTCGGCCGAGGTTTATCCAACCAATAACATTTCCTTTGTGTTTGAGCGTGTTATCCCTGGAAAATCAGAAGCCATACAATTTAAGAAATATTCGGCTTTTATCAGAGAATCACTGGGGAGACCTTAAGTCTTCCCACACCATGGCATCATGTCATATAGTACTATCTGCACTGGATGACTCATCATGGAGTGATTCAATGAATGCAAGCATTTGATATAGGCAGGAACTGTAGTTCTGGTATTTCATTAGCTGATAAGTATTTCTTTTCAAGTGTGAGAAACTATTCTTCGTGCACTTTTTTCTTTTTGAGAAGTTTCTCGACTTCCCTTTCTAAACCTAATTACTTAGTTTCCTTCAAACTACCTCATGTACTTCACATGCTCATGTGAAGCTCAAATACAGCATCTTGCAGTCAAACTGTGGTAGTAAGGATAAGTTTTCCTGTATCTCAGTAACAGATTGATTTCTCCTTTTTTTTTTTTTTTTTTTTTTTTTTGTCTTTGAGATGAAAATACTTTATGCCCTTACATAATTCCTTTAACTTTTCTGTATTGATGCTAACTGAAACTGTATTAAGGAACCATATCATTAAAGCTTTATGGTGGGGCAATTTTCTTTTTTGTGACAGAGCAAATAATTACATTTTGTGAAAGATTAATCAATATTTGAGATAGACCATTTTACAGAAAAAATTACTATCAAACTAATCATATTTCCTTAGAACCAAAAAGAAGATGTGATATGTAGGACGATAAGAACAGACAGGGAAAATTGTATAATATTATACAGAAGAAAGAGAAACATAGCTTAGTACCGCTCAGTAACTTCTAGATACCCAGAGGAATAGTAATTTCCATAAGAAAAGAAAAAAAATTCTGTTTCTCAATGTGGAATAGTCTTCTGTGAATTCCAGAGAATAATGGGGACATATGCAAATAATAAGGATGTGTAGGTTTCTATTCAGACTGCAGGGACCCAGAAAAGGCTCGCTCTGAAGTTTTAAAAATTCTGGCCTCCTTGTGCAAGATGTGGACTGTATGTATGCAGGTATATTGTAGTGCAATTTATCACACTTCTTCCCTAGGAAAGAATCAAATTCTTTTTAAGAAAGAATGTGGTATTATAGACACTGTCTTTGTCTGCCATGAATGACTTAATGTCCATATAAAGCTACACTGATGCAGAAAGTTGAATTTATCTAAAGCCTCATTTTTTCACCAGTGCCATGAACTAACACCAAGAAGCTGTAAGGGGAAGAATATATTGTGCAGTACACACTGTTAAAATTCACTTATTCTGAGCTCTGACCATATTGACAGTTTTTTTCTTCTTTGGATTGCATGCTGTTATTAACTTAATCATCATATTTCTGTAACAGATTGTAGGTGATCACTGATCTGCACAAGTTCTTCATTACAAATGGATGCAAAAGGAGACTACATCTCTCATAGCTCCTATAGGATTTTCTAGGAATGAGCCTATAAAGAAGTTCTCCCCTCCCTGGTTCACGGAGATACATAGAAACGTTTAGAAAACAAGTCACAGACTGATCAGCATTTCAGCTGTCTACTCTGGATTTAAAGCGATTGAACTCATCTCTTTTCCTAAACTGCAGTCTCTTCTTTATAAACCAGTTGAAACATGGAGTACTTCAGAGAACAATCTGAGAGACTCCTTTTTGATCATTCTTCCCAATTCTTAATGTCTTTTTTTAAGAGAAAGCCAAAATTTCCTGCCTCACCTTTGCTCCAGACTAAGGGTTTTACTTGTACCAAGTACAGCATAAAGTTCTTTAATTCTTTACTGTAACAAAATTTATTATTACAACAGAAAAATAAAAACCTTTTCAGTGACATGTCAGCTGAAAACAGGGAGATGGTTTTCCCATGTTGATTATCAGATTTTTAATTTTACAGCTGCCTGGTTTAATCCATGTGCTGTGAAGGGCAATAAAAATGCTTTGGGATATCAGCCTCACAGTAGTCTTAACTCTGTCAGTCAGTAACTGCAATGGTAAGAGTGTTATGGGAGACTTCTCCAAAGCAGTGTTATTACTCTTTTTATGTTAGATGTTGAGGTGAGTTTAAGGTAAAAATGCCAGAAGTCCATTTACAGTAGTGCTTGTCACAGCTAGGAAATACTAAAATAGAAGAAAACCCCTCAGTACAAATAAGGCCTTGTTGATGAAAGTGCAACCAAGAAGGACAAAAAGCAGATTTGCTAAGACTGACCTCATACACACCATTCCTCAAAGGCCAGCTCTGCCCCAGCAGGGCAGCACCAGGCAGGGAAGACAAAGCAGCTCTTGTCATGTCTTGTCACTGGTACAATAGTGGGTATCAGGAAGGGCTGCACAGTGCTGCTTATTTTGTCAGAACAGACTGAATGACACTTTCTGGCTAACTCAGCATATATCAGCATTGTTTGGGACTACTAGTCTTTTGCTCCCTGTTATCATATTTCCTTTTATCCTAATACTTTTTGTTTTTCTCTTTGATAATTTCCCCCTCTTTTTTAATATTTAGCATTTTTCCTTCCTAATATCTTATTCTCCTTCCAATCTGTCTCTTCCTTTCTCTTCGTTGGATCACCCCATTCTATACCCCAATTTATTTTGGTCTTGACTGAGGGCAGTAGTCTGTTCTCTCTTGTTTATTGCAAAATTACTACTTTCCCCTCTCTCCCAAACCTTTAGATCCTCTGTGTAATCAGCTGATTCCATTTTTGTCTCTTCTTAATCTCTGTCTTAGATTCAGTCTTCTGTTCTCCTATTCTGCTCCTCACTGGCTTCTTGGTCACTGTTTTTTGCTGTTGCATTCTTGAAAGCGACACTCTTCTTAGTTCTCCTCTGAAAACCTTGGATGTCTCCCAGTATTTCAAGATAAAAAATGAGGGATGGGACCACCATGCTATTTAAGATGATTTATTGCTCAAGTAAGCCCGATAAGATATCAGTCTCAAAGGCATGAGATTTGGAGAGGAGCAACAAGTCAGCCACAGCTTAAAGGTAGTCACGGGTTTCTTCTTCACACAGCAATATATAACATTTTGGTCCAATAGACAGTTAACACAAAACTTGTTTCTACTTAATAACCAATCACCTTTGCCTAATTTTGCTGCACTGCGTCTGTCTCTTAGCCACTAAGCTGACAAGGTCACATACTCATACACACACCTCTATTATAGCTTCTAGATCCCTAGCCTGCTCTATAAGTCACATTATTACAGCTCAAACCTCACACTATTTGACCTAATATAATTTCTTACTTACTCAATACATATTCTTACTTATAACTATAGGAACATAAGTTTATAATTTTTCTGCCTAATGTTTGTGTACATTTATCATTACATTAATCCGAGTTCATTCCAAGGCTGGAGATTGAACCCTTCAGCATCTGTGGAATTTTCCGTTTTTCCATTTCCCACACCAGTGCTTCCTCTGAATGCCAGTAGTAGCAGGCCATCAGTTGCAGTGTGAGAGGATATGATGACCACTAACATGTTCTGCTTGAGGCAACATTCACAAGCCAGCCAAACACTGTGTATTCTTTGTCTTCCTGCACATATCAGGTAAGCCTT